TCCAGGCTAAACGCTTTTACTTTAGTGCTATTGGGTTAATATTCAGCAGATACCCACCTACTCTGGGAATGCTGCTTTAAAACGTGACTCAGAGAGAATGTGCACGTTTAGTGTGACAGTGAAGCCATCTACACACAGACACAGAATGTAGGGTTCATACAGGTGCATCTCAATAAATTAGAATGTCGTGGAAAAGTTCATTTATTTCAGTAATTCAACTCAAATTGTGAAACTCGTGTATTAAATAAATTCAATGCACACAGACTGAAGTAGTTTAAGTCTTTGGTTCTTTTAATTGTGATGATTTTGGCTCACATTTAACAAAAACCCACCAACTCACTATCTATAAATATATAAATATAATATAATATAATATAATATAATTGCATGGACTCTAATGAGGCTAAATGGTTGCACAAAGACTGAAACGAGCATGTTTCTTATTAAAACAATAAGCCAAATCAAACAAAAGTGAATGAAATCAATCATCATCATAATCATCATTACACAATAGAATTTGCCTGATATGGTCATGCAGGCCAAAGATGTGCTCTCGGCATTGAGAAACACACCTTTCCAGTTCTCTGGAAGAATCACGAAGGTCCCATGAACAGTTGAAAGTCTTCTAAAACTCTTCTAGGAAGAGTTTCCTAAACTGGCCAACAGGAAGACAGCATGGGGAGAGGCAGCTTTGTGTTGTGTTTAGGCCTCTCTCCAGTAATACTACAAGTGAATGGAAGAGGCCAAGATATATCATCTCACACAGAAACCCTACAGTTACAGCTGAGCCAAGTTTGCATTGAAAACACACACCCACAAACTCATTTTCCATCTGATCTGGCCCACATCTATCACAAATGGCCATTTAATTTCAACAATCTTTCTGCCATTCCATATTAAGTCCTAAAGCATGGAACAGTGAACACAACCAACATCTGCTCAAAAGATTTACTCATAAACTTCAACTTCATACAGAATCTGCTTATTTATAAATATAGACTGTAAAATAAAAAAAAATAAAAAAATCCAAAACCTCTTAGAGGTCAGAACCAGAGAAATATATTGATGTTTCCATCAGGGACAAGGCATTTGTTTTGGGTTCCTCAGATGTTTTCTAGCAGTGCCAAGACAATTTGTAATTTCATCCGAGAAGATCCAAAAAGCAACTAGTAATTAAGGCTTTACCATAAACCAATAAGAGCTCCACCATTTCTTTCAAACAACTACAAAGTTAGTCAAACGTTGCTATAGAAACACAGAGCCAATAGGGTAAGACTGTTGCCCAACACGTGTTTCTTGGTGATGGGAAACAGAAAGCAAGGGATGTGTTAAAGTGGCACATAACACAAACAAATGCCTTTCTTTACAAGTGATCCTATCAAAATTAACATGGCAACCCGAAACACATCTCCGATGAACATATGGATAAGGTCACATCAATTTAAAGTATTAGTTAACTTCCAGAATAAAACATTCCCTGATAATTTACTCACTCCCATGTCATCCAAGATGTTCATGTCTTTCTTTCTTCAGTCAAAAAGAAATTAAGGTTTTTGAGGAAAACATTCCAGGATTTTTCTCCATATAGTGGACTTCAATGGCGGAAGTACCCACCCAGTGTTTACACAGCGATTGTGCAAGTTGGAGTTTTGAAGTTGGAGGAGAAAATGAGAAGAAGTTTTTCGCTCTACTCTACCTTTTTGAACCAAAGTACACAGAAGAAGCACTAACTGCGCATGATCTTTCCAATGTGATTACGTAATGCGTGAAGACACGCATGTGCATCACAGAGCTAGCGCAAGATGAGCATTTGTTGTTAAAAAGTAAACACTTTTTTTTTTTTTTTTTAGAAAATGGGCAATCGTTTTGCTAGATAAGACCCTTATTCCTCAGCTGGGATCGTGTAGAGCTGTCTGAATTGCATTGAAACTGCAATTTAGACCTTCAACCCATTGATCCCCACTGAAGTCCACTTTATGGAGAAAAATCCTGAAATGTTTTCCTCAAAAACCTTAATTTCTTTGCAATTGAAAAAAGAAAGACATGAGCATCTTGGACGACATGGGGGTGAGTAAATTATCAGAAATGTTTTATTCTGGAAGTGAACTACTCCTTTAATCATTCCAAGTGCAAATTTAAAGAAGTTGATATTAAAACGTTCATTTTCAGACATTTAAAGGAACAATATGTAATTTTTGCCACTAGAGGGCGCGTATTCAAAATAGACAAAGGCGTAGTTAGATGACTCCGTGACTGGGTGTGGAATCATGGGAGTTGTCATCTTCATCCACACAACCGATGCAATCCGACGGGACTCGGACAGAAATCATGCTCATGGATGAGCTATTGATTTATTAACGTAGTAGAATGAAGCAGGGTGAGGCTGAAAGACGTTGAAGCGAAACGAGTCCGCTGAACGAGCGTGACACACGGCTCGAAAGCAGCGGAGCTTTTATTATGCCACAGTCGACCTCTTCCGCTCCTTCCGGTCGTGCGTATGTGGGAAAAAAAGCAGCGCTGTTTTATCATACTAGATACTGAAAGTTTGAAAGTGCTGACACAATGACACTATGGACACGGTCCGTGTCACTAGTTAAAATTACTTTAATTACTATTTAAACATTCTTTGAAACATTTGGGATAATGTAAGTACACAAGTCAGCAAAATATATAACACTGTTCTAGTGGTTTTTGGATATTTGAATAAAAAAATCTTACATATTGTGCCTTTAACGTCAAACACTGATTAGATTTGAAAGCAGACGTGCATATTTTGAGCAAATAAATAATATCTTGAAAACTTTAGCTGTGTCCCAATTCAGAGGCTAAACACTTCAAAGGATGTGCACTTAAAAGGCCGCTATAAAAAAAAAAATATCAAAATGCATCTTTAGGAAGAATTTTAAACTGCTTTAAACTGTCTAAAATCTAATCTAAAAAATATTTAGAAATTCATGTACACTGAAAACCAATACACTTAAAAGGGCAATCTGGCATTTTACTCTCAAAAATAAATAAATTAATAAATAAAATAAAAAAAAATGTCCTGCTGTCACCATCGCGCAACGAAATTTGGGATAATCTGGGCCACAAAAGATCCATTTGTTGTGTCCTTCATGTTCCAGGACACACAGACCGCATTTCAAGAAGCCTTCGAAATGGGTTTTCAAATGTAGCCTTCAAAAGACACAGTCTCTGAATTGGGATACGACTTTTGTGTGATCAGCAGACAGAAGTCTGCTTGAGAAGACTTGGAATATAGTAAATAAGCTGCATGGACTACTTTTGTGTTGCTTGTTTTGTCATTTTTGAAGCCAAGCAGCCATCGTCCCCATTCACTTTAACTATCTGGAAAACAGCAGCTTGGGCATTCTTCAAAATTACTCCTTTTGTGTTTTAAAGAAGAAAAAAAACTTTGGGGTTTAGAACAAATTGGGATTGAGAAAATGATGGCAGAATTTCCATTTTAGCTAAACTATTCCTTTGGTTCGCTAATTTATAAATAATTCATGCATGTACAACTAAGTGTGCAAGCAATTGGGACACATTATCAAACTTTCAATCTCCAGTCTAATAGTAACTTCATATGGCTTTGTGAATATTTCAATAGTTCAGAAAAGCTGTCAGTGTTTGTCCTGGCTTCAGAGGAGGTCTTTGAGAATGCAAAGGGATATGGCATTGCAACATGATTAATAAAACATGCCAAAATCCACCCTATTAACTCCGTTAATGCTGACACCTGGAAGATGACACTGGACCAGCCTGCAACAGCCGCATCGCATCTGTTCATCAATCTGCCCCACTAATCAACCTATCACTACTCTGAACATCTAATATAGATCACAGAGACTTCTGACATGAAAATATAGTTCAGGTGTCTATATTTTACTCGGAACTTAGTGTCACTCTCCTTCAATGTATTTTGATGGACACCTAATGCAATTCCATTCAATGAAATGGGTGTTGTCCATTTTTTCCTTTTTCTTTTATTAGCTGTTAAATATTTTGTCAGACAAACAATGACTTCAAGTGTTAATAAACTGCATTGTGTCATCTAAAGCAACATTCAAACAAAATAAATGTTGAAAAAGTAACCAGGTGAAAGGTGACAGGGTTGACAGTTTTACAGTTTATATATCATTATTAGCATCCATTGCAATGTCATATCAGTACAAAGTGTGTTTTATGCTGATAATATGCAATGAATGCTGATATTTTACCACATATCCAGTTTACAATAATAACTTGTCATCATGGTAATTTTGATGGCTATTTAAAATCATCCACTACTGATAAACAAAACGTAAGATAAAATGATAAAAAGACAACACATAAGACAACAGGTTACAAGGGAAAGAGAATAGTAACAAGGTTAACTAATATATATATATATATATATATGCTACAAAATCTGCTAAAAGTAAAAAAATAATAGTAATAATAATAATGTAAAACAGAAACAAAGCAAAAAGGCAACATGGACAATGTAAAAATAAATTAAATTAAATAAAAACAAACTACAAAAAGAAAAATCTATTAGATTTATGTAAACAAAATGCCTACAACATACTGAGGTAAAGTCAGTTTAAATGTTCATGAGTTATACAAAAGACTCATTCATGTAATTACCCTGACAGTTCTTAAGTTAAATTAAATTAAATTAAATTTATATACTAATTAAATAACTTCAAAATTGATAAGCAACATCATAATCGGTTTCAAACTAGTTTTCACTGAACTTTAACCATGCAAACACTCGTGTTTGAACATCTCAGTCCGTGCGTAAGACGTTATAAACACAGCAACAGTATAACCTGATGTAGTCTGTATTTCATTTAATCAAAACATCCCAATAATGTGACATCCAGACCCCCGATACAATGAACAAACATAGTTTCTATTTCAAAGTTACCCACGCGATTCACTATCGCCAAACTGAGCTCAACAGCATTGTGCAACTGCAACATGTTTCCACAACTCAGCAAAATGACCCATCTTACCTTCTGTCAGCCATGTTCCTCACATTGTTTGGACTAATGGAAGTGAAAGCAGTGAGATGTGTCCTCTGGCAGAAACTGCGCAGACTGCACTGAGGCTGTGAATGTGGAGTTCAGGCTTTCTGTCCCGCAGGAGTTTGAGGCAGACAGTGGAGTGGGTTATTCCCCCGCCCTCTTCAGCAAGGGCCATGCTCGAGTAATCTGATCTTCACCGCAGCCTGCTGGAGCTTCACTGAGGCGGAATGAGCGCTCATAGAGTTGGCGCTCACAGTTTGACGCGTGGCGCCATCTGCTGGCGAGTCTAGGTAGTACACGCTGCCCGCTTTGTCATATATTACAGAGTTAAACATGTTAAAGCAAATGTTTCTTATTTAATTCTCCCCCCCCCCTCTCTTTTTTATCTCTCTCAGGAGTTGAAGCCTACAACCTTTCTGTCCATGCAGCAACTGATGGAAAAGGGGGTCTTTTTTATGATGTTGTATTATGTGTTATTGCAAAAATGAGTATATACAGTATATAAATATGCATTCTTGAATAATTCCGCTGTTACAAAAGAATAGGGTCCTAGAACTGCGGTCCTGAAACTGCAGCCTCCGGTTGTGCAGGAACACCTTTCTCGCTTTGTCACTATGGCGCTTCTTGTAATAATACTTCACAAGTACGTAGGCCTTCATGCTGTAAACTATGGAAGCCCGTTTTCGCCACTGAATACAAAATAAAAAATGTTTTATTTCTTTTTCGCAATTTGAAGTCGCAATTACCTTTTTTATTTTTTACTCAGTGGTGGAAACGGGCTTGCGTAGTAAACAGATGGTGTGCGGTCCATTTTAGTATAGCAGGGGTCACTAGACTTGATCCTGGAGGGCCGTGTACCGACGAAACATGCTACCTATCAGATTGTGCTACCAAAAATATATTTACATTGCTTTAAGGGTAAGTTTAGGGTAAGGGTAGGTGTGGACGGGTAGGGGTAGGTATGGACATAAAAAAAAGCCTCAAACCACATGAATAAGATGCTGGTAGCACAACATGATAGGTAGCATTTTTTGCTATCGATTTGTGCTACCTATCTTTTTAATGGGAGGTAGCACAATCTGAGCCGGTAGCACAAATCATCAGAACACCGGTGTCCTGCAGAGTTTAGCTTTAAAGGGTCATGAAACCCAGACCATAGCCGCGGGAACGTATTTTGAGCTGGGGGGGCTGAAAATATAAAATAAAACTTTCATTTATTCGTTTAATAGCCTATACGTGAGTGTCTTTGTAGCTGGGTTTTCATTAAAAAAAAATAACAATGACCCACAAACTAAGCATTCGTTTTAAATAAGAGCATCCGATAATTTTAACTGTTGGAGAAAACTGGTTAATTTTAAGCTTTTTTTGCGCTATTTTCATCTTCCAGGTTTAAAATCTACATCGTTGTAGACGTCACAATTTGTGACGTTTTTTTAATTTGTATTTTTATTGCATTGCTAAGAACATACACCATCAATGCCAGGGGTACATACAATTGAGAGTACAAATGCAGGTTACAAAATCAGGAAAATATCGTACAAATGACACAATGAGACAGTTTTAAGGGCTTTGGAGTTGCTGGATGTAAGGAGAGTGTCCAGATAGGATTTAAGTTCCTTATGAAAAATAAAAAAGTAAGGCTTAGCACCCTGAAATTTACATTTATGTAAGAAAAATTTCGCTAGAAAAATAAACAAATTTATCAAGAAATATTGGTGCTTTGCATCTTTATCAAAATTGTGCTGACCAATTAAAACATCTTTGTATAACAAAGAAAAACTTTGCGATGAAAATGTGCGTATAAAAATACAGAAATCCATCCAGAACGTACTTGTATATGAGCATTCACAGAAGAGATGAGAAATAGATTCATCTTCAGCACCACACAAAGAACATAAAGAGTCAATATCAGGAAACATTCGTTTTAAGTAAAGCTTTACAGGATAAAAAAGATGAAGTAATTTGTAGGACACATCCTTGACCTTATTGGTTATTAAATATTTAGACGACAAAGTCCACACTTTCTTCCATGGAATGTTGATAAACTGGCCATTCCAGTAGGACACAATGTACGGGAGAGAAGCAATCTCATTCTGAAATAGCTGTCTAATTGTCCTGTTCCGACCAGAAGAGTTAGATAAAAAACAAACAAATATGCCCAATCATTGTATCAAAAGGATGAGCAACTGACAAAGAAATCTGGGATCTAGCTGAGTCTTCGAGAAGAGTTATTGCTCCATAAGGAATGGCATCCATTACTATAGCAAACTCTCGTGGAGTGACAGGTATGTTATACTTGTTCAAAAACTCTGAATATGAATACAAGTGTCCATCAGCATTGATTAATTGAGAGACCAAAATAAAATTATTATTCACGCAATCTGGGAAAAACAGTGACTTATTTTTGTAAAGAATATCACAATTATTCCAAATAAAGTACCGGTGAGGACTAAAATTGTGCTTATATATAAGGTGCCAGGCCAAAAGTGCTTGTTTATGAAATTTGATCATTTAAGGGGCAATTTAATGATGTTGTAGTTGCATAACAATAAGAAAGGGAGACCTCCCACCTTAGAAAAAACTAGATTAGGAAGAATATTCCAAAATGAAAAAGGGTTTGTTAAGTACTGTTTTAACCAATTTATCTTGAAAGTATTAAGGAAGTAAAATCTAGAAAGTTTAGACCACCACATTCATAATTATTAATAACCACAGACTTTTTAACATAATGCCTCTTATGCTTCCACAGAAAATCAAATAGCATTCTGTCAATATCTACACATGTAGATTTATCCACGTATAAGGAGAGAGCAGGGTAAGTCATTCTTGAGATACCCTCAGCTTTAGCAATAAGGGTTCGTCCTCGTGAGAGTTAACTTCGACGATGAGCTGTTGCACAGAAGTTGCTAAACTGTCCACCTTGGCCGAAGTGAGCTCAGTAGTTTTCTCAATCGCTGAAACCTTTAAATGCGTTTGATCGAGTTTCAAGCCAAGTGCATGGATAGCTTCAAGCACTTCCGAAGTGTTCTCGGAATCAGGTTTCGCACTGACTCGATTCCTTTTTTTAGCCGGAGAATCAGTTTTTTGGGGTGTTTCAGTCAGACTAGGGAAATCGGCCGGGCAAGGGGGCTCCATAACGGACTCACGAGCAAGTTCCATCTCGTTAGCATCAGCGTTGTGAGGAGAGGAGTGTTTCCTACTCCTTTTGCCCATCCAAAATGTTTATTTCTTCAATACCATTAAGATGTAAGGGGTATCTTCATATTAAATAAAAGAAAAGAAAAGACGTAATTTCCAGCTGCAAACTCCACGTCTATCAAGGACAGAGAAAAAGCATGTCTGACTAGAAGGATGCCATCTTGGCCCCCCCGTCAGGCAGCCTTTTTTTTATTTTATTTTATTTTTATTGCATTGCTAAGAACATACACCATCAATGCCAGGGGTACATACAATTGAGAGTACAAATGCAGGTTACAAAATCAGGAAAATATCGTACAAATGACACAATGAGACAGTTTTAAGGGCTTTGGAGTTGCTGGATGTAAGGAGAGTGTCCAGATAGGATTTAAGTTCCTTATGAAAAATAAAAAAGTAAGGCTTAGCACCCTGAAATTTACATTTATGTAAGAAAAATTTCGCTAGAAAAATAAACAAATTTATCAAGAAATATTGGTCCTTTGCATCTTTATACAAATTGTGCTGACCAAATAAAACATATTTGTATAACAAAGAAAAACTTTGTGATGAAAATGTGCGTACAAAAATACAGAAATCCATCCAGAACATACTTGTATATGAGCATTCCCAGAAGAGATGAGAAATAGATTCATCTTCAGCACCACAAAAAGAACATAAAGAGTCAATATCAGGAAACATTCTTTTTAAGTAAAGCTTTACAGGATAAAAAAGATGAAGTAATTTGTAGGACACATCCTTGACCTTATTGGTTATTAAATATTTAGACGACAAAGTCCACACTTTCTTCCATGGAATGTTGATAAACTGGCCATTCCAGTAGGACACAATGTACGGGAGAGAAGCAATCTCATTCTAGAGAAGCAATCTCATAGCTGTCTCATTCTCCTGTTCCGACCAGAAGAGTTAGATAAAAAACAAACAAATATGCCCAATCATTGTATCAAAAGGATGAGCAACTGACTGGGATCTAGGGGATCTAGCTGAGTCTTCGAGAAGAGTTATTGCTCCATAAGGAATGGCATCCATTACTACTCGTGGAGTTCGTGGAGTGACAGGTATGTTATACTTGTTCAAAAACTCTGAATATGAATACAAGTGTCCATCAGCATTGATTAATTGAGAGACCAAAATAAAATTATTATTCACCCAATCTGGGAAAAACAATGACTTATTTTTATAAAGAATGTCGCAATTATTCCAAATAAAGTACCGGTGAGGACTAAAATTGTGCTTATATATAAGGTGCCAGGCCAAAAGTGCTTGTTTATGAAATTTGATCATTTAAGGGGCAATTTAATGATGTTGTAGTTGCATAAAAAGGGAGAAGGGAGACCTCCCACCTTAGAAAAAACTAGATTAGGAAGAATATTCCAAAATGAAAAAGGAAGTACTGTTGTTTAGACCACCACATTCATAATTATTAATAACCACAGACTTTTTAACATAATGCCTCTTATGCTTCCACAGAAAATCAAATAGCATTCTGTCAATATCTACACATGTAGATTTATCCACGTATAAGGAGAGAGCAGGGTAAGTCATTCTTGAGATACCCTCAGCTTTAGCAATAAGGGTTCGTCCTCTAAGAGATAAATCTCTTAGTAACCATTGAATTTCCTTTTAGTTTTCCCAACAACTGGGTCAAAGTTCAGTCTGCCTCTGACTTTATCATCCTTACATATGGATACACCCAGAGAGGTCACCACGCCCACTTTCTTTTTAGCATTTTTTAAAGGGGTCATATGATGTTGCTAAAAAGAACATTATTTTGTGTATTTGGTGTAATGCAATGTGTTTA